ATAACCATCCTTTTCTGCTATCATATATGTTCTATCAAAATTAAATAATTTTTATTAAAAAATCGACCTTCTTATCTCATTAAAAAAAAAGAAAAAAAAAAACTTTAAAGAGTCAGTTTATAAAGTGTGGACGGGAGATAATAACGTACCTATGGCATTCACTTTAGTATAATTTCTTTCGTTACCCTATGACAGATCCCTTAAAGATAATAAAGCAGTTATAATAATCCACGATGCAAAGCTTCTTCTTATCAATGCCTAAATTTAATAAAACTTTCGTTTATAAAGAGCCACAAAACCTATATCATAAGTTCTGTAATGCATATGCATATTATAAACAAGTAACTCTTTGCAACCCAAATCCAAATCGTCAACAATTAATGCAAGAATATAATCTAACATGGAACCAAATCAAGCAGGAAAATAAAACCTTCATCAATAAAAAGATTCAGGACTATTTTAATGCTATTCCTTCTCATACCTATTCCCATTATTCAAAATTAACACAACACAATCCGAATAATTCAGACTATATTGATACTTCACCTTTAATATCAAGGAATATATCTTCGCAACCAAATGACGAAGAATTACCTAAAAATGCCATATGTCAGCATGATTCAGTTGAAAAAATAAATGCAGCTAATAAAAAAATAAAAGAATTTGAACAAATGTATAGCATTTCTACAGATAAATCATTTAAAGAAACATTAGTATCAAGCATAATTAATGAAAAAAAAAATAGTTACAGAGCAAACAAAGAGGTTAGAAAAACTCAAACGCCATGCTGAAGCACAAGCAAGACTTACAGAAAAAAAAGTGAAGTTGCTTGAAGAAGGTATAGTAGAGAAATATAATGGGCCCGGAAGGCCATCAGCGGCGATGATTCATCCTGATTTTTAAGATAAAATTCATGATTGCGTTGAGTTTGGAAGTGCGCACTCAAAAGAAGAAAAGTTGTAATCAAAGTACGTACTATAAAACACCTCCGACAAGCTTTAGAAGAGAAGTATAATGTGTACTTATCTCGTCAATGCATATCCACATAC